TTTTCATACATGTTTTGCTTATTTAGTTTTATTGAGGTTGATGGGACAATATGACCTCATAGGTTTTCTTTCATATGTAATTTATGAGGACCCTGAAAGGGACCTCCTGGGTCATGGATTCCCAGACAACCGTGTTGGATAATCTCTCATACACTGACCGTTCTTCACTGTAAGTCTCATTAGGATTTTTTATTTCCATTACTTCTCTTGGAAGACTGTTCTATAACCTCATTCCTCTGATGCTCAGAAACCTTCCTGTAAATTCCACCTTGAATTTATTCATGGCCAATTTATTCCCCTGCGCTTTTATGCTAACATTATCATTGTTTTTTTTAATTGAAATGGCTCTTTTCCCGCCCTAACATTGGTTCTCTCAGTGTGTAAAGGGAAAATGTATATTCTTTCTGTTTTCATTTTGTGAAGCCAGACTCGGTTGTGTAAGATGGGTTCTCCATTCCCTCATCATTGCAGGAACATTTCTTTACACCTATTCCAAGATGAATTCAACTGCTTCAAAGCAGATGACCAGAATCCTATGTAATTATTCGTTATAAAACCTTTACCAGTACAATATGATGGCATTCTTCCCTTCTTGTCTTAACTGGAAGTACTTTATCTCATTACATCTTAGAATCCCATTTGCCTCTATTACTGTGTGATGTATGAGATAGCTCACAGCCATGCTGTGAACAGTTGAGAGACACAGTTGTGGGGATTTTTTCCACTGCAATTTTTAGTTGATCAGCATTTTGATTTACAAGAAATTGATGCAGTTAGCTGCTGTGTACCTGACCTTGTATTTCTGTACGTTTCATCTGGTTTTAATTGTTCCAGTCTTAAAAATTCTTTGTCTTTTCCTTAACAGTGTTAAAAGCTCTTGAGGTATTCATAATTCTACTCCGTGCTGTACATGGAGCAAATGTTAGCATGCTGTTGTCTTTAATTAAAAACTAATGAACGTTTTGAATAGATATTTTCATGGCACTCCACTAGTAATCTCCATCCAATCCAATGACATCCCATTCTGCATTATTTGCCTTTGTTTCCCTTTTTACCCGGTTTCTTACCTACCTTAAAATTCTTATGCAGTCTTTGTTTTCTATAATTTCATTTGCTTAAGTGGCACCATGTCAAGTCCTCGGGCAATCCTTTCTTTGAGAAAAAAAAGATAAGTCGGTAGGCATTACCTATGTTTAGTTTTCATTTATTTTGTATCTTCAATTATTCTTCCTTGTTTCACTTTTTCTCCCTCCTCCATTCTACTGACGCCTACTATCACTTTTTCCTCCTCCTTACATACAGGTGGGTGTTTGGCTATTCTGCAGCAATATGGTCCCTACCTGATAGAAGAGTTCCCAGGTTTTATCTCTGGACTTGTGATTTCTGGGGCAGTCTCCCAACAGTGTCAGCATACTGAGTTTTACTTCCATCTTGAATAGAGTTATTTCTATTCTCTTTTCTGCCCCTGTTTTTAACCTCTTCATCTTTATTGAAAACAATTTACTGAGGCAAAGGATTTATTCCATTTTGGGGCTACACATAGATTAATATCTATCCAATCCTTACTGTATAGCAGCCTCACTTTTTCTTTTTTGATTCCCTTTTTGCCTCTGTGGCTAAACAACCGTCTACTATTTGTTTTAATTTCCTTTCCAAGGTCTAACTCAGCTTGACTTTTTGGCAGGTCTTGCTTTATCCCAGTATTACCTGACCCCTAAAACAATTCTTTCTTTTTTTTTTTTTTTTTGGCAGTCTTTTTTTCCCCTTTCGTTGTAGAATTCTGCTTCCTCCTAGTTGTTGGGTTTTTTTTTAGTGGGGTGGCATATGTGTGAATCTGTGTGAGCAAGGGGGAACATTCATATAGTTTAGTCTGAGAAGCTCTTTCCTTCAAGATTTTTCACCTTGTTTGAAGTAAAAGATCCAAAATCGCCTCTTCCACCTTTTTCTTCTACATTCCAAGTGTCCTCCTCACATGTCAGGTCCTTTTGCTTTGGCTTAGAGGAGTAAGGCATATGGTTTGCAAAGTTTGCCCCTCTAGAATCAAGAACTCCACTTTTTATGTCCCTTCTACTTACTGAAACAAAGTCTAAAATAACCTTATTTCTGGCTGCTTCAGTGCCTGTTCTGTTAAGCAGTATGTCAGCTAGCACATGCAGGAATAATTGGGCCCTACTGTTATTAATAGCATTTGTTCTCCAATGTATATCCATGGATATAAGTTATTTCCATGTGGTTGGACAGTTGTTCTGGCTGCATAGCTACTTGGCCCTTTGATTCAGTTAAGAATTATCTTTATGCATTGTAAGAAATATTAAACACACATCAGGAGCCAACTGATATTCATTAGCCATATAAGCATTCTACAACAGCTATATTAAACTACATGTGATGTACATTACATATTATGTACGAATAGCTTTTATACCGTTGGGATAGTTCTGAGAATCTATTTTTAAAAATAGTTTTATTTCAGCAGTTGGGTTACAGAGGAAATGAGGCTTAGAACTGTTAGTTGTTGGGCAGTAAAATCTTGCTGAGGATCTGATTAATTTCCAGAGCACTGACCAGGGTGTGTATGATGCTTCCGTGTTAAAGTCTTTGCAACTTCAGAGATTAAAACGCTCCTTTATTTCCTAAACTCAGAGGAGCAAGGCAGGCTTGTACACTGAAACCTGTAGTCTCCTTCAGACTATTTTTACTCATTTGCATTGACATTTCTCTTCATGAGGGCAAGGTGTATTGACAGACATAGTATAGGATTATTGCAAATAAAGAAGGGTCTAAGATGTATTTCCTATTATGGTAAAGTAATTGCATGTTTAGAAATGATGTTAAAATAAATTCTGAAGGGAGGAGAGATTTAGACACTTCAGTGGTTACAGAAAAGCTACAACAGATTCTCTCTCTTCTAGTACAAGAGTAAACTGGGTACAGGCTGGACTCTGTGATTTAATGATTAAATCAAAATTACATGTTCTTTGTATTAATTGTAAGCCATTGATCTTATGTTGTAATCGTCATACTGTCCAGTTTGTCAGCACAGGGAGTTTGGCCGTTGGCAGATGATGACAGACATCTACAAAGAATATGTAGGCTCTGCTACAACTAAACAGCAAATGTTTTGCTGAAATGCGAACATTTTGTTGTAAGTTTTAAAAACTTGTTTATCAGATTCCAAAAAGAGGAGAATAGTAATTATTCATTAAATTGTCATTTGAAAATGTAATCACAGCACAGTAAACAGCCTCCTAGAGAGACTGATCCAGATCCCGTTGAAATCAAAAGAAAAGGCTGCTGTTGGATCTGGTTCTAAGAGCTGAGAAATCTAAGCTGCAGACCTGGCCTCTGTGCCAAAGACGGGGAGTGGGGGAGAGAGATCACAAGCACCATAAACAAAATGAATAAAACAGGATCTTAAAATGTATGGTACCATCCAAGCTGCTTGCAAAATCACTCTTTGGCACAAAAACTAGGAAGGCCACAGTTTAGATTTCACAGGATATTAAGGACAGGATAGTAATATCAGATATAATAATAATAAAAATACAGTGTTGTAAAATACTATATACTTTTTTTTCACATTTGGAAACATACCAGGAAGTTTTCACCTTTATACTAAACACATGCTCACAGTTTATGGAAAGAAATATTCATTCTTATGGCCTGATCATGTGAGGTGCCGAGAACCGTTCACTTCCATTATTTCTGAAGTTTCACATGCAGAGTCAAGCTTCTTAATATACTGTTGGATTCAAGAGGTGAAGCAGTCAGCAGAACTGTGTCAGTGTTTCACTGTTGCCAAACTGTAGAAACTAATTACTTCTGAAGGTTGTGCTCAAACAGATAATAGACTAGATGATGACACGCTCGTGTTGGCAGATAGCAGTAACACTGGAGTTGCTGCACAGTTCCATGAGACATGGGGACCAGAGTCTAGGTTCCCTGGCTGTTAGGCACTAACTTCCAACAGCTGCTCTGTAAAGGTTCTCCGTATATAGACTCTTGACACCAAAGTCACAGTCATGGATGTTACAAACAGTATTCAAGTGATTTCTAGAAGTCATTCTTCAAAAGGCTAGGAAGAAGAATATGCTTCCCATGACACTGAATGATCTCTTCTGAATACTGTAGAGATGGTATATATTCACGTGTAAAGAAGACAATTACAAAGAGAAATCTTCCACTGTTACTGCAGATTCTTCAGTTGGTTGCCAGTCCTATTTTGGTGCTATGGTTACGTTATAAAACCAAAGTTTTAAACTTCCATGATGTATACATCATAAAAGCGGTTGACAGAGCAACTTCCTCACTCTAACATTTCAGAAAAGGAAATTATCAGATGTCCCTGTGGAAGCAGGAGAAGACTATACTAAGTTTAACAGCAGCAATCTGAAAACCAAAAAGGTAAGCAAGCCTTGCATTCATACATGTTTTACTAAAGCATGGTTTAATATCCAGCATTAGCAGAGTGCCTATTTTTCTCGTCCAAATTATATGAGAAAAGCAAATGCAAAATGGCAGATGTCCATAGTTATATCTCCTTGAACTTTTCATTCAGGTTTAATTTAACTTTGATAGTCCCATTCTGAACTCTTCTATTCTGTTACTGTTTGACTGTGTTTTATCTGTGAACATTCCGGTGAACCTCGCAGACTTTGACATGTGTTAAGGTGCTCCGCTAATGTTTCCAAAGCTCTTTGAGATCTTTAGATAAGAAATCCTATGGCTTAGTGATAGCAACTGTTAAATTTAAGTTATTTGAAAAAGAAATAAAGATGGCAGCATTCACTTAAATTCCAAAGGATGCTAAGACAGGCTTTATTTTTACCTAGAAATATTGCTTGTGCACTTACTTCTGTCAACTTAATGTAAATCAACGCAGAGCTTGCTGATTGCCAGCTCCAACGCAAGTTTGGAGGCCAATTCAAATCTGAGTCCAGTGGTGCCTGCCACTGTACTATTCCTAGGAGAGCAACAGAGACGTGAAAAGAAATAGATTCTTTCTGTGTGTGCCAAAGTTGTGAGGCTTGCACTGGCTTATTTGTCTGAACATTGAAAGAAAATGAATCCTTCTCCAGTCCATTGGGAACCAAAAAGGCCCTCTGTGCTGGTCTTGTGATCTTCAGACTAATGCTCACTACTCTTTATCCCTTTGCAAAAAGAAGCAGCTGGTGACACATGCATTCGTTCCTCACCCCAAAACCTCCAGAATTTTTTGTGTTCAGGGCATATGATAATTTTGAAGTAAGAAAAGGATTTCCCCCTAAGTGAAGGTGATAAATGGTTTAAAATATGCACGTTTCCCCCCTTCCTCCATTTTGTACCTATAGCTTTTGAACTGAGCATAAAGATAGAAATTAACTGAGGAGAGATAATTCATTTTAACATTAAGTATGATTTACTTCTGAAGTAATGAAGCACATTGATGAGAGAATCTGGGAAAGAAAAGATAGCTCTTGGACTCCGTACAGTATATTACTATTTTTTAAATATTTTGGCAGTGGTTTTGTTTGTATAGTAACACAGACGATCATACTGTTGTTGCATATCTCCATCCTATCCATAACCTTCTAGCTGATCCCAAGTATTGTAATTATGAAGTCCTGCAGACTGAGGAGTATCATAAAGAAAGGTCAATGCAAAGTTTTCTTAATAGGGAAAACAGCTAGAGATTTAAAACATAACATTTTAAAATGTAAAGAAGAAAAGAAGTCAGCTCTATAAAACGTGGCTCATAAAATGTGTTTTAGGCGTAAAAGTCTGGGAAGTTGTCCCAGTGGCCTTGAGGTGCTTTGCAAATGTTAGTTACCTTCTTCATTCTTAGTTCTTTCATCTCTTTTCCCTTTATTTCGCTGTGCATAGAGTCTTTGATAATAAATCAGTGTGAATTATTCATCATCTGTAATGCAAGGCTGTAATTCAGCCTGCTGACAGCATAATCATGAGATTGAGTTGGAGGGTACAGTATGCATCTGTTATATTGCATGCATTATTCCTTTTAATATACGCTCAGGAATTATCCCAAAGTAAATGTTTGAGTTGGGGTACCTCATTCTGCAGAAAGGAAAGATGTTTCACCTCCGTGTCCTTGTAATTGATTCTTTGTCTCTGTCTGAGGTTAAGTAATTCATGACAAGTATTTTTCTGTTTGAATAATCTCAAATTTGTTTACTTAGGTTTTTTC